CGACGGGGGCGGCGGCACAGGGGGCGGAGGGGACGGAGGTGGCGGCGACGGCGGCGGCGACGGCGGCGGCGGCGAAGGCGGCGGCGACGGCGGCGGCGACGGCGGCGGCTGGTTGAAGACGTAAGCTTCGATGTGGCGGTGCGTGTACCACGGCTCGTGATCGCCTTGCTTGAGGCAGAGGTTGTACAGGCCAACCTCGTACGGGCGGTAGTCGGCGCGCAGGTTCGCGTCCAGGGCGGGGAAGTAGCCCAGGGCGGTGTCGCGCAGCTCTTGCTCGCAGCCGTGCGTGGAGTTGACCTTTAGTGGGGGCAAGGGTGGGGGCAGAGTGGGTGGTGGCGAGGGCGGCGGAGGGCGAGTGAGAAGTGCGGAGCGACCTTGTCCACGTTCATCCAGCTGACGCGATCTCCTTCGACGACGTTGTGGCCTCCGGCAAAGTGGAGGGACACCTCGATATCGACCCAGAGGTTGATGCGGTAGGTCTCATTCTCGGGGTACGGGGGCGGGCCCCCATCGACGGTGATGACGATGTCCGGCGGCGGCGGCGGCGGCGACGACGGCGGCGGCGGAAGGGACGGCGGGGGCACAGAGGGTGGCGACTGCGGTGGTACGGTAGGTGGGGCAGAGGGCACAGACACCGCGACCGCCACGGCGAGCAAGGTGATCATCACGAGCACAGCGGCGGGCTCGGTGGGAAAGCGGATCGCACGCCCCTCGGACAACGTGCGTGCGCTTTTTCAGCCTTCACACCAAACCAAGCATAATAATGTGCGCTTTTTTGCACGCCATCCAGTTCACCGTGAACCCCGCCATTCGCTCTCACCTGGCAACCCTGTCTGCACGTCTCGCGCGCGCGTGAACAGGGCTGCAGGCCCCAAAAGGAATGAAGATGTGTTTTGCCGATTGTTGCTTTGTTTGCAAATCATCGGCGCGGGCTCTCTCGGCTACGGGACCGGCCCCAGCTTCGGCTGAGGGCTGACAAGCTGCCGAGCCCAAATCACTGTGAGAGTCGTGATTTCTTTCTCCAAATCAGCGAATGCCCTGCACCGGAGTGAGAGATCTCACACCGGTTCGGTTTCGCCAGGTTGAGGAGGGTCGAAGGCATGGCGCGGTCGACCACGAGCGAAGTAGCGCGGATGGAGGGCCACCCGCCCGCCCGAGGGGGGGCGGCCCACGCACGGAGCGCGCAGCTTACACAAAGGAACAAATTTACCCGTGTTGTCAGCCCACGAGGCGGCCCGTCGGGGATGACACACATAGCAAGGTAGCATCTAGGTAGGCAAAGGACGATGCCAACCGCCCCTCCGGGGGGCACCCTGGGCGCTCCACACACCAGGAGGCTTCACCAGGTCGTGCGATGAAGAGCAGCGATGCCGTAGGAGTAAAGTGGTCCCAGGCCCTGCGGGGAACTAAGTCGACTGACGCGCAAGTTAGTCTGTGAGCTGCACGCGGGCTAGTGGGGCAAGAGGCGGGTCAAGTGGTGAAGTGCCCCGGGAGTCGTGGTCGGAGGCCGGGACACTACGCGCACTAAGTTAGTGTGCGGAAGTGAGTGCCTCGGGCCGGCTGAGAGGGGAGTGGTCCGGCGGGACACACTCTAGGGCACTTCGAGTGGCGGACGGAGGCTCGGCGGCTACTATAAGTTAGTGCGTGGGAGTGTGAGTGTCTCAGGCCACCCCGCCCACTAAATTAGTGCGCGTAGTGGGTGGGCCGCCGGCGTCGCCAGTGAGTGCCCCGGCCCTGCGGCGCCGCCCTAGTGAGTGAGTGGGTGGAGAGAGAGAGAGTGTGTGAGTGAGTGAGTGGTGAGTGCTCGCTGACCCTCCCCACACTAAGTAGGCGTCGCTGTTGTGTCCAAGACCTGGGTGTGAAGCCACCTGTCTTTACACCCTCTTCGACCTCATGTCACCCAAAACGCACGATTCTCAAGTTGGGCCGTCTGACTCCCTCGCTCGATGCTAAGCGCGTGTCTTTTCTTCTTGTCACTGAATTGGCTGGGGCTGCAGAAACAGCGTATCTCAGTCGTTCTTCACACGGCAATCGCAGAGCAGGTTGTGGATGAGCTTGCCTGTGGCGGGGGTGGGCGGGTGCACGGAGCTAAGTGCCTCGCCACTCTCGCAGGAGTCGCTTAGGCGGCTCCCGTGGTGTACCTGTGTTAGTGCCAGTGGCAGTGCGAGCCAGTCCCGTGCCCAGTGTTGTGCGAGGGAGTTTTGTTGTAAAATTCTTCTTGTCAAAGTCTTTTCTTCGCGCGACGACGAGCCGACCCCGGCGCAGAGCGGTATGCTCCTCGCCGCTAGCCCGCAGCTCTTCACTCCAATCGGCTTGCGGCAGCCTTCCCGTGTCTCCGTGCGACCCGCTTGGGTAGCCGCCATGTGTGGCCCGCTGCCGGAAAAAATCCGGGGTTTAGCTGGCGTATCTCGGGCCCACTTTAGAGCTAGGGCATGATCTTAGGTGTTCTGGATAGCCCACAAGGGTCTTCTGTGATTGTAGGAAAATTGGGGGAACACTTGACGGTCGCGGCCTTCCGACTCGCGCCTCCGCCTCACTGGCACTATTGTAGCCCTGGCCGGTGCGCGTGTGGAGTTGAAGTTCCGGAGTGAAAATTCGAACGCGTTCTCTCACGGTGACCAAAAAATGTCCACCTCAGAGGCACCTCCGGAGGCAGGCCGCCGCACGCCGGCGACACAGCTCCAGCTGTCGAACTGACCCGCAGCTCCTCTCAGAGCGGGAACTGTGACGAAAGTTGACTGAGGCGGTTGTCAGGAACCATCATACGGATCACATGGTGGCTCTCTCATGACGGGAGACCGCCCGACCACTCCTGGGTGGCACTGCCACCGGTGTCGCTCGACGTCCTGTCGACAGCGTGCCGACAGCGACACAGACCATGTGGGACGCGTCGAGTATCGACCTCTACTGCTTACCCAGTCTTCGAGTGTATCCTGCCTGTGGTCCCACACCCACTGGTGTCCGTCTCAGAGACCGCAGGAGGTCATGAGGGTCGATGGGAGTGCCAACCCCACAATGCCTAAAGACCCAGCCCAGTATGTTGTCCCACGCCGCTGATTTCCCGTCTGCACCGCCGGCGGCGCCGGCGAGCTGTCCATCACAACCCGCAGCGCCATTATAAGCGCCAGAAAGAAAAATGCGGAACAAAAGCCCCAAAAATTCTCGAAAGAAGGCCCAAGAGGGGCCTGCCCGCCACATGGCCGCCCCGAATAATACACATTGTCCTAGTCAGCACGGTTCGTCGGAGGCGGAGGCAAAGGCACTCACCGCACAGCTCCCCTACTCCGTCTCGCGCGTGACCGCGAAGCGCAGCACGCACGTGACAAAGTCGCGCGCCGCGATGCCGTTCGTGTTTCCTGCCGAGTCGAGCTGCTGCCGCTCGTGGATCTCGTAGAGCGAGAGGACGAGGAGCGCCGCCCGCGCGCGCGCCGCCGCGGGGAAGAGCGAGTGGCTTGCCGGCGACCACGGCGCCGCCGCCCGCCGGATCAGCGCCGCCGCCTCGCCCTCGCCGCCCGCGGCGCGCTGCAGCGGCGTCGGCTCGCCCTCGTGCAGGCTTGCGCCGCTGCGCAGCAATGAGAGCGCGCGGGCGGCGGTGAGGGTCTCAAGGTGCGCGAGCGGCGTCCAGCCGCGGCTGGCGACCAGCCAGGCGGCGAGGTCGGCGTGGCCGCGGCTGTTTGCGGCCTCCTCGGGCGTGCCAAGGGGCGGCACTGCGGCGCGGGAGGCGCCGTAGGAGGAGAGGAGCTTGGCGACTTCGAGGTGGCCCTGCTGGCACGCCATGAACAGCGGCGTGACGCCATCGTTGCGGGCGTGGCTGACCGCCGCGCCAGCCTCGAGAAGCAGCTGGGCGATCTCGAGGTGGCCCTTCTCGCACGCAATGTACAGCGGTGTGGCGCCGTCCTCATCGGCTTGGCCGACCGCCGCGCCAGCCTCCAGGAGCAGCTTGGCGACCTCGAGGTGACCCTTGTAGCACGCGACGTACAGCGGCGTGGCGCCGTTCTGCTTGGCTTGGCCGACCGCCGCGCCAGCCTCGAGGAGCAGCCGGACAATCTCGAGGTGGCCCTGCTGGCATGCGATGTACAGCGGCGTGGCGCCTTGGTTCTGGGCTTGGCCGACCGCCGCGTTGGCCTCGAGAAGCAGCCGGACGATGTCGAGGTGGCCCTTCTCGCACGCGATGTACAGCGGCGTGGCGCCATGCTGCGGGGCTCGATTGATCGCCGCGCCCGCCTCGAGAAGCAGCCGGGCAAGCTCGAGGTGGCCCTTCTCGCACGCGATGTACAGCGGCGTGAAGCCGCCCTCATCGGCTTGGTTGACCGCCGCATTGACCTCGAGGAGCAGCTGAACGCACTCGAGGTATTCGTTCTCGCACGCAAGGAGAAGAGCGGAGGCGTCATCCCCGTCAGCCGCCCCAACGTCTGCGCCGGCCTCGAGCAGCAGCCGCACCGCCTCGGCTTGCCCGTGCCGAGCGGCCCAGGTGAGCAGCGTGTCTTGCGTGTCGGTCTCGAGCCGCGCGTCGAGCCTGCCGCACGTCCGCCGCCCGGAGAGGAGGGCTCGCAGCGCGGCCAGGTCGCCCACCGCGAGCTCGGCCTGGGTTGGGTGGAGGGCGCCGCTCATTGCCGCCAGAAAGAATTCTTAAGATACAAGCCTCTCTCACAGCACACTGGCACGACAAGGGCGCAGACTGGCGCGGACTGGCACACACACAGGCTCACAGAAAGAAACCGTGACGGTTTTTCTTGGAAGCAAGCTCAAAATCGCTAAAGCTCTCTCTCTCTCTCTCTCTCTCTCTCTCTCTCTCTCTCTCTCTCTCTCTCTCTCTCTCTCTCTCTCTCTCTCTCTCTCTCTCTCTCTCTCTCTCTCTCTCTCTCTCTCGTGGTAGCGGTGGTAGCTCTGGTAGCGGTGGTTTTGCGCGAGGCGTTCATTCAAAAATCACCATATCCCCCCCTACGCAGTGGGCGGCCGCGCCGCATTACGCGCCGCCGAACTATGCGGCGGTGCAGGCGATGGACATGGCGGCGGCGACGGCGGCGCTGCGCGTGCACGTGTCGGTCAGCCGCGTCGCTGCTGCGGCATGCATGCGCTTGGCGGATCTGTGCATGGAGGATGTCTGTGCATGGAGGATCAAAACAGCAACAGGCAACTTGCGGCGGAGGCGGGCGCGATCGAGGCGGTCGTGGCGGCGCTGCAGGCTCACCCGCAGGTGGCGGAGGTGCAGGAGCAAGGCTGTAGGGCGCTGCGCAACGTGTGCTTCTCGGCACCTACGCCGCAGGGCGCGCACGCATCCAGCGCGCAGCAGCCGCGGGTGCGATCGAGGCGGTGGCGGCGGCGATGCGCGCTCACCCGCAGGAGGCGGGCGTGCAAGGGCAAGGCTGCAGGGCGCTGTGCAACGTGTGCTCCGGCACCGACGGCGCAGGGCGCGCACGCGAGCAGCGCGCAGCAGCGATAGTGGCGGCGCTGCAGGCTCACCCGCAGGAGGTGGAGGTGCAGGCGGAAGGCTACAGGGCGTTGGGCAACGTGTGCTCCGGCACCGACGCCGCGGGGCACGCACGCAGCCAGCGCGCAGCAGAGGCGGGCGCGATCGAGGCGGTTGTGGCGGCGATGCAGGCTCACCCGCAGGAGGAGGAGGTGCAGGAATTTTACAACAAAACTCCCTAACAAATCGCCAACAGGCAGATATCGCACACCAGTCAACGCATACTTTCCTCCCATCCTACCATAGTTTCATCCTTTACTCGATGCGAAGTACCTTTCTTTCGAGGGTGCGTGCTTGGCGCGCACGCACTAACACAACAACAACAACAACACAATCTCTCTCCCGGCTTCTTTGGGTACATTTTGTTTTTGTTTTTTTCACTTCCGTTTTTCCGTCGTCCAAACCAAATGCTCTTCCCAGCTTCCGTCCCATCCATCATGTCCTCCCACGGCACCGGGCCGGTGCTTGCACTTTGAATGCCGTGGGGCTCCTGCCCGTGTCCGGGTGTGGAGATGCGAGGGTCGCCCCCCCTTGCCCCACCACTTTGTGTGTGTGGAGACGTTTACCTTACCTTACCTTACCTCTTCCTCCTCTCGCTCGCGCTCGTCCACCCGCACCTTGTTTCTTTGATTTGATCACTCTCGAGCCTGTCGCTTGTTTGTGTTGTTGTGCTTGTTGTTTGTACCCTTGGCACTGGAGTGCTGGGGGGGGCGACAGGGGGGACGTGGCCCTGAGTTATGTGTACGCCAACTCAGGGTGTGTGGCAGCCCGCTGGCTGTGTGTCTCGAGCCTGTGCAGTAGCGGATGTTGTGCAGCTGTGCAGTAGCGAATGCCGATGCTGTACAAGAAGGTCACCAGTAGCGTGAAGGGGGCACTTGGAGCACTTAAAGTGCAGTGAGAGGAGGTAGGTAGTCACAGTAATCTCACATGCAAAAGAAAGAAAGAAAGAAAACAGATCGTCCCAAGGGAGGGAGATGGGAGGACGGCACGCCGCCACCACACAGGGATTTAAGGAGAGGTGTGTAAAAGGGCGTCCAAATCGGAAAACGCTAGCCGCCGTACACGGCCAACCAAGGTAGTAAACCGCGGGAGCCTGGACGACCAAGGTACCTTAGCCGGCCCTAGGCGACGGAAGCATGCACATGCTGCTGGCTGCCTTCCTCTCCGCGCTCAGCGTAGCAGCGGCGTCCGAGCCCTTCACCTGCGACTGCTCCTGGACGGCTACGCACCCTTGCGATCACCCGGTGAGTTCAGCCACGACCACGTCGCGCTCAGACACCCCGTTCGATCCGCTCGCCCCTCCCGACAGGACACCAAGCCGCAAACGGGCTGGCTCGGCCTCGGCGGGACGGACGAGTGCCACTACTACTGCTGCCCCGCCCCGCCGCCGTCGCCGCCGCCTCCGCTCACCCCGTGCGACTGCAACTGGGTCGGCCGTGACGGCAAGCACGTTTGCCCGCACCAGGACCCGTGCCCCGGTCTGACTGCGCTGGAGTGCCGCGAGGTGCCAGCCTCGCAGCAGGTCGCGCACCCGGAACGCACCAACGGCCTCCCGGCGGACGTGCCCTGGCAGTGCTTCCACCAGTGCTGCACGGAGCCCGCCGCGCCGCCGGCGCCACCTTTCCCGCCGTCGTCGCCGCCTCCCTCCGACGACGACGACGGCAGCGGGTTCGACGACTCCCAATTCTTGAACGTCGATGGCATCCTCAGCACAAAGGACCCGGCAGACATCCGGCTCATCGTCACGATCATCACCATCATCATCGCGCTCCCGCTCTTTTGCTGCGCGACGTGCTGCCTCTATCGCAACGCGATGAAGGAGGCGGAGAAGGATGCCGTCGAGCAAGCCCGCCGGCGCGCTTACATTGGCGTCTAGGACACTCAATCCGCGCGCAGCTCTCCCCGCACGCAGCAGCCACCGACCCTGCGGCCGCTGCCTGCACCGTTGCTCCTCCGTCTCTCCCCCGTGCCGATCTTGTTCGTTCTCGTTTATTAGTGAGGCTTGGCCGTGCGGTCTGCCTCCGGGTGTGGTCTGGTGTGGACGTCGCACACTTGACGTCGAGGGCTCTCTGCCTCTCTCGATGGCACAATGCGGTCATGCGCGCCAGGGACCACATTGCAGCCCCGCGGGTGTGTGTCGTTCCTCAGTTTGTGGGAGTGTCTGAATGGTTGAACTCTTTTGTGGTGTACCTGATCCGTCGAAAGCCGGGGCCGAGGCCGAGCGGGCTCGGTCGCGTGCGCAGCGACCAGGAAGGAGCCGTGCATGCTGCATGCATGCACAGTTGGGACTCGGGTGGATGCAGCATTAAGGCACGTGCGGCACGTTGTTGCCGCCCTCTCCTCGATCCTCGAGCAGACAGAGATCCGTAGCGGAGCACAGTGAGAACGCCTCGTCGCTCGCGCCGCGCATCTCTGCCATGTCGTCCTGGGAGGGCGATCGATGCATCAGGGGCCGGAAAATTCTTTGTTTCCGGCCCCTTTTGAAGCGTCTCCAGCAGCAGCAGCACGCAGCACAGCCAATGGCCTCGTTCGGTACGACTTCTCGCGGCCTCGCCGACTCTCCCGCGAGGCCGCTCTCCTGCATGCGCCTCTCGCAGACGCGCCGCAGCCCGAAGAAGGTTGGCCGGCCGGCCGCGAGCGCCGCACGGGCGCTTCGCGAGTCGAACCAGGCCAACGGCTACAAGCCGGCGCAGACGCCCAACATCAAGCCATCGTCCCGCCGGATGGGATCATCGGCCGGATCGTCGCGGTCCGCGGCGTCGTCGCTGAAGCGCGCAGCGCCCGAATCGGACGGACCGGCCCCAAAGCGCCGCAGCGCCGGAGACCAGCCGCTCGAGGCGGTCGACGAGAGCACAGCGCTCTCCGAGCTGCATGCGTCGCGCGAGGACAATGAGCGGCTGACGTGCGAGGTGGAGCGGCTCAACACGGCGCGCTCCGCGTGGGAGGACCGCGCCGCCGAGCAAGCCGCCGAGCTCGAGCGGCTGCACGCCGAGATTGAGGCGGCGCGGCAGGAGCTGTCGGCGCAGGTCACCGCGGCCGAGGAGAGCGCCGCTGCGGCGGAGGCGGCGCGCGCCGCGGCGCAGGCCGAGGCCGAGGCGACAGCCGCGCGGGCGGCCGGGCTCGAGTCCTCCCTCGCCGCCACCGTGGCCAGCGTGACGGAGCTGACTTGCCGCACACACGCGCAAGAAGAGCTCCGCCGGCAGGCAGCACTCGCCACACGCACACACCCGCCGTCGCCCGCGGACCCCGCCGGCACTTCGTTGCCATCCTGAGCCCGTTCGCCGAACTCTCCCCTCCCACCCCCTCCCCGTGGGCCTCACGCACCCCCTCCTCGCCATCTCCGAGAGGAGGCACTCCCTCCCCCCCCCCCCCCTCCGCCACACCACCCACGCGCCACGCCTCCCCGTGCCGCCCGCCCGAGCCGAGCTCCGCGAAGGCAGAGCGGCGCGCCGCCTTCCCGCCCTGCTCTCCCTCCCCCGCCGCCTCTCCCCAGCCGCCCCTTCCCCCCTCACCCCGCCCGCAGATGCACGAGACCATCCAGGCGCTTCGCGGAAACATCCGCGTCTTTTGCCGCGTGCGCGGCGGCGGCGGCGAGGCGGAGTGTGCGGTGAGCGTGCCGGCGGGGCAGGTGGAGGACACCGTCCTCGAGATCCGGCCCGTCGATGGCGCGAAGGGCGGGCCGCAGCGCTTCCAGTTCGACCACGCGTTTGGCGCGGCGGCGTCGCAAGAAGACGTCTTCGTCGAGGCGTGTGTCTGCGGCACGCCGTCGGGGGAGGGGGGGCGCTGCGGACGGCGTCTCTTCACACCTCTGGCCGCGAGCAGGTGTCTCAGCTGACGCAGTCGGCGCTCGACGGCCACAACGTCGCCATCTTTGCCTACGGCCAGACGGGCGAGATCCGGCCGAGATGCCAGATGCCGGCCGAGATGCCAGCCGAGATCCGGCCGAGATCCTGCCGAGATGCCGGCCGAGATCCGGCCGAGATGCCGGCCGAGATGCCAGCCGAGATGCCAGCCGAGATGCGTCCGAGATCCGTCGCCGACTTTGCTTGCGAGCAGAGCCTCGCGACCCTCCCTGCCGCGACACGTGCCGCGACACGTGCCGCGACACGTGCCGCGACACGTCCCCGACGCGCCCACGGCGTGCCCGCAGGCTCGGGCAAGACCTTCACCATGGAGGGCCCCGGCGGAGACCCGGGCGTCACGCCGCGCGCCGTCGAGCGCCTCTTCGCTCACGCGGCGGAGCTGTCGGCGCTCGGCTCCTCCTTCGAGTTTGAGGTGCCGCGAGAGGTAGAAGCAACGACGCGGCGCTGCCCGCAGCACCCCACCGACGCCGCCAGCCCGCACTCGGCGCACTGCCGCACGGCTGCAGCCGCCATTTAGTCAGGCTTCACCCTGTCGCGCCGCAGCCGCGCCTCGAGGTTTACCACGAGGAGGCTGCCCGGGATATGGGGAGATGCGGGGAGATATATGGGGAGATAGATGGGGGAGATGGGGGGAGATATGGGGAGATATGGGGGGGAGCCTCCCTCCAGGTGTCGTGCCTCGAGGTCTACAACGAGGAGGTGCGCGACCTACTCGCGCCGCCGCCAAAGGGCGCCGAGCCTCGCCGAGCCCGAGCTGCAGGGAAGAGTCCCCCCCCCCCCCCGCTGCAGCCGTGCGTTTCTCTCCTCCGCAGGCGGCGAGCCCGCCAAGCTCAAGCTGCAGGACCTCGCCGGCGTCGTGTGCGTGCAAGGCGAGACCGCCGAGCCCCGCCCCTTTGGTGACTTGCGCACCTGCTGACAACACTGGGGGCGGAGTCCGCTGAGTAGGTGCACTCTCGGGCCGACCTCGCGTCCTGAGTGAGCCACTCGGCATCTCCCGACGGGCGGTGGTGTTCGCCGGACTAGGCCTCCTGTCGACGCGTGCCAGCCCCGAAAAATGAACCCGAGATGACCCGAGATCGTCCGAGATTTGTAGGCCTCAAGTCGACGCGCGTCGCGACGGCGGAGGAGGTGGCGCCGCTGCTCGCCGCTGCGCAGCGCGTGCGCTCGACGGCGAGCACAAAGATGAACGACCGCTCTTCGCGCTCGCACTATGTCTTCCGGATGCGCATCCGCCGCCGCGAGGGCGAGGGCGGCGGTCGCCGCACGAGTCGCCGAGTTGAGCCGCGTCTCTTCCCACGGGGCATGTCTGACCACAGGCGAGGGCGGCGAGTGCCGAGAGTCGGAGCTCTACCTGGTTGACCTCGCCGGCACGGAGCGCGTCGAGGCGTCGCCTCCTCGAGGGCCCCCCCGAGCTCACCCCGAGAAGTGTCCGAGATGCAGGCTCGGAGCGCGTCAAGGAGTCGGGCGTGAGCGGCGAGCAGATGGTCGAGGCGAGAGCGATCAACAAGTCGCTCTCCTCGCTCGGCGACGTGGCGAGACTCAGCCGAGATCCGATCCCCACCCGAGATGTCGCCGAGATGTAGACGAGGGGTGGCGCGGCGCAGAGCTCGGGGCTCGGGGCGGGCTCCGGGCTTTGCGAGGTGCGAGGTGCCGTTCCGCCCCTGCGCGCTGCGACCACGGCTGCGACCACCGCTGCCGCGCAGGTGGCGGCGCTCGCCTCTGGCGCCAAGCACGTGCCGTTCCGCAACTCGAAGCTCACGCACCTGATGCAGAACGCGCTCTCGGGCTCGCTCAAGACACTGCCGCGCCGTCACTCTTCGCCGGTGGATCAGCCGAGGGTCCCCCGACGGGTAGGCTCGTCCAAGACGCTCATGTTCGTCAACATCTCGCCGCTGGCAAAGCACTACAACGAGTCGGTCTCCTCGCTCCGCTTCGCCCAAAAGGTGAACGGCTGCCTCTCGAGCAACAAGCGCGGGCTGCCGGGCAAGTGAGAGGAGGGAAGGGAGGGGGGGGGGGGGGGGATCCATCCCGCCCGCGAGAGTAAAACCTCGCGGCGGATCGGGCGCAACCATGCGCATGCCGGCCACGCGCGAGGCACAGGCAGCGGCCAGTGCGCCTCTCGCCGCGCCATGGCAGTTAGTACAGCCTCCCACTCTACGCACGACGTGAGCCATCGTCCGGCCGTCGTCGGCATTTTGCGCGTACCGGCGGTACCGCGGCGAGGGGGCGATCGTCCCAACGACATGACAGTTCTTGCTGCTGCATGAGCATGTGCTCTGTGACTGCTGCGCGTGTCTCGTCTCTCGAGTTATGGGGGAATACACAAATGAAACGGTCAAACTTTAGGGATACATGGGCTAGTTGTAGTTCCATTTCACTGTAGCCTGCTGTAGGGGCACAGCTCGCGTTACAAAACCTTAAAAAAATCTTGACGGCGGGCACGACGCACGTCGCCCCATTGCGCGCGTAGCTATGACAGGGACCGCGGCCGCGGATCCGGCGGCGGACGGGGCTGGCGCGCAAGCGCCGGCCACCGTCGGAGCGGGCCGCCGGGGATGCGCCGCGGACGGCGGCCTGGAATAGGATGTGCGGTGCGGGGTGTGAGGGGGCAACGTCTTTGTGTGTGTGCGCGCGCGCCGCTGCCGCTCGTCGTGGGCTCGTGATCTGAACTGAAGAGGGGGGGTGCGGCCTTGAGAGCTTACGGGTGGTCTCACCGCGCCAGAGGCTCTGCCTCTCCTCTTGGGGATTGAACTGAGGGATGGGGCGGGGATCCTCCCTCTTCCCGCATCGATGCCGGGGCTCAACCAATCCGGAGAGGTCATTACCATTCCTCCATACATCCTCCCGGCTTCATCGCACATCGGCGGGCGTCTGGGAGTGTGTCGTCAACTGACCGGTGGTCTTTCAGTGTGGTGGGGTGGGTTTCGTGACCGTTCATCGTCGATGCCGCCTTACTTACCTGTTCCCCGCTGGCGCGACCCCGCGCCGGCCAGCGGAGCCATTGCCCGCTTAGTCACCACCCCCGCCGGCGCGACGCGATCCGATCGGCGGCGCCACCGACGGGGCCGCCGGCACGGAGTAGATTCCGTCGTTGCCGGTCGGGGTGTTGGTCCGGACATGGGCGACGCGACCACTGCACTGCACTGCTCCAACGTGGCCAGAGACCCGGTGCGGTGCAGGTGTTCGCGCCGCCCCGCCCTGCGTCGCCCGCCGCCGCGCCGCGCCGCTGCATGGATTGATTGATAGATTGCATGGTAGGTAGGTAGGTAGTAAGGTGAAGAACAGCCAGGCTCGGACTGGACACCAACGCGGTATGGGTGGACGCTAGACAGATGATGACGACACGCACGAGCGACACACAGACACAAACAAGCTCACAAGACACACAGCCAACTGGCTGCCACACACCCTGAGTCGGCGTACACATAACTCAGGGCCACATCCTCCCTGTCGCCCCCCCCAGCACTCCACGGTGCCAAGGGCACAAACAAGGGCACAACTCAAACAACAGACGACAGGAAGTGATATGTGAGGCTAGAGCAGCTTGCTCCACCTCTAGCAATCTCGCCGGCCGCAAGGCACGGACGAGACCGTATGTGGGGTCTAGTGAGGTGTCTATGGACGCGCTCCTCATGGGCTAGCTGCCTGCGGCTAGCCCTAATCTCGCACTCACGGACAGCGACAATCAAATGGGTGAGTGTTTGCGAGCAGAGGCGCGTGGGCTAAATCTAGGCCGCACGTCGTGGCACTATGACGAAGTAGACGTGCGGCCGCAGCGCGCCCGCCGCAGGCTCGGCGGTGCGCGCGTGTTAGCGACAAAGTTGCGGGTGGAGCCATGCCCGACTTTTCGAAGGTGAGGCCTCTGCGACGAGTGCCAGCCGCGCTGCGGAGCCACGCCCTTCGAGCCGCGTCCCGTCGTCACTGTCCCCGAGTGGTCCCGCCTCGGCGGCACACACTCTCGACCAGGACAGTCCCGCCAACGGAAACGTGTCGCGCGCCGGCGACGATCGTGCGGCGTGGTAGTTGTGAAGCGGAGATGGCACGACCACCGCCCTGCTTCGCAGACCGGGCAAGGAGGGGCCTGCTCCCGTTCCGCGAGGAACAGGAGGTCTCCCCCCCTCCCCCGGCCTGAGCAGCGACTCGTGGAAGGCAGCCCCTTGAGTCGAGGGCGGCGCGACCATTGCCCTGCTCGCAACGGCCAGAGTACCGAGGTCAGTGCAGATGGTCGCGCCGCCCCGCTCCGCCCCGCCCGCCGCCGCGCCGCGCCGCCGCCCGATGATTATTAAGTAATAATGAATTAACAAATAATTAATTACCCCACCCGCCGCCGCGCCGCCCCGCCCTCTGCGCCGCCCGCTGCCTCGCCGCGCCGCCGCCTCCTGCCCGCCGCCGCGCCGCTCCGCCGCCCGAGGATTAATATTTAATAATTATTACCCGATTAATAACGTGTGTGTGTTTGCATGGTGGGGGGAGACCAAAAAAAGAAAACTCTCGCCACGCTGTCAGGACAAGGCACGCTTGAGCTCCGGGGCTGTTCTTTGACAAGGCACGCCTTGGAGCGCGGGGCAGCACCGCCCCGGCGGTTCTCGCTGACCCCGCTGCTTCGGAAATGCCCGGCGCGCCCACCCGATTCGCAGCGCATCAAATCCCACTGCACACGCCCGCCTTGCTGTGTGCCTTGGCGCTTGGCGTGGGTGGTCACGCCCTCGCAAGCAGTGTTCCCGCTGGCTCGGTCGCGGGTGACATGGAGGTCGGGCTCGTCTTCGAGGCGTGTCTGCTAGGCAACGCGGCGGTGGTGTCAGAGTGGCTCGACCGCGGTGGGGAGGCGAGTCCGACGTACGACGACGGCCCTTGGGTGACCACCCGCCGCCCTCAGTTACAACACCGCCGCGCCTGGTCTGGTGTGCGCGGGATGACGCTGCTGGCGGCAGCCGCTGGGGAGGGCCATGCGCATGTGGTCGAGTTGCTGCTGCAGCGTGGCGCGGAGGTGGGCGCGCAGACCAGTGAAGGCCACACCGCGCTGCTATACGCGACTGACAATGGCCACGAGCAGACTGCCGCTGTACTGATTCGGCACGGCGCAGAGATCAACCAGCAAGATAGCGAGGGCAACACAGCGCTCACGTACGCTTGCAATAGCGCCCAGCCTTGGGCGCTTCGGATGGTCGACTATCTGTTGAGCAAGGGCGCCGACGTCAACCATCTGAACTTAAACGGCGAGGCCGCGCTGATGCTTGCCGCCGCCGTCGGAGAAGAGCGGGTGGTTGAGTTGCTGATCCACCACGGCGCGGTGGTCGATATGCAAGACGCCAAGGGAAACAGTGCGTTGATGGACGCCTCCAGCGCTGGTAGGGTGCCGGTGGTCCACGCACTGCTGCGGGCGGGGGCACAGGTCGAGCTGCAGAACGGGGAAGGGCTCACTGCGGTACGCTTCGCTGAGGATCTGGGTTGCGCGGCGTGCGCTCAGGCGCTCAAAGATGCCACCAAGCACGACGCGCTGCCGCTGGTCCCGGACGCGGATGGTGCCGCCGACGGTTGGTGGGGCTATGGACCTCCGATGCTTGTGCAATGGTGTCTGGGGTTCCTCAGCTTCTGCGTCGGGCTTCTGATTTTGAATGCAACTTATGATTACGCTGACTTGAGGGAGCTGCGAGTGGCTATGGGGATGGGGGCAAGGAGAGCGGATGCAAAGCATTCGGAGAGAACGGCGGACGCAAAGCATTCGAGGAGAGCAGCCAAGGCTGAGGCGAGGAGGGCCGCAAAGGCGGCAGCCAGGAAAGCAGCGGAGGCGGCTCAGAGGCAGGTAGCCGATATGGCTAAAAGAGAAGCGGCTGCGAAGGCGGCGGCGGCGGCGGCGGCGGCGGCGGCAGCGGCGACGGCGGCGGCGGAGGCGGAGGCGGAGGCGGCGGCGGAGGCGGAGGCGGCGGCGGAGCGCGACACGCAGGCTGCCGAGGAGGACGCGGTGGACGTGCAGACGGTGGCTGCGACTGCAGAGGAGCTCGGCCTGGCGGCGGAGGGCGTGGGGGACTTGCTCCGCCGCGCGAACCTGCTGGAGATCGAGCCACAGGGGAGCTTGCGGGAGCAGGCCGAGGTCGCCCTCGCGGCACTCATCGGGGTGCCGCTGCCGCCGCCCACTCCGTCTGAGGCCGCCCTCTCCGAGTACAGTGCAGCGGAGGCTGCGTCCAGCGATACAGGCGGCGCTGGCACGGGGGTCGGCTTGAGGGACGCCGAGCCCGCCAGCGAGACGCGCGCAACTCCTGCCAGCATCGAGCCTGCAATCTCCCCTTCGCGTGGGCGGGGCGGCCGGGGCCGCGGTGATCGCAGTGTTGGCGTCTATTCAGCTTCGCCCTCGTCTGCGGAGGCTACACCGAGTGACCCGCCGGCGGCCATCGTCGTCTCCCTGGCGGCCGCCACGTTCGATACGGGCCGCCCGGCCGTGCCCGAGTCGACCCTCGGCGGCGAGACCACGTGCATCATCTGCTTTACGCGCCCGAAGTCGCACGTCGCGATTCCATGCGGGCACTTGTGCGCTTGCAGCTCCTGCTCCGCAAGAATGGAGCAGTGCCCCATCTGCCGCGAGCGGGTGCTAACGTGGACGCTACTCCGAGTCGCCTGAGGTGCGCCCCGTCACGCGCCCGGTAGACGTGTACACTGCTCGCTCGCCGTTTGGCACTACAGCATTCGGGGATGGTGTGGCCTCTTTCCCTCGCAGGAGTCGCTTAGGCGGTGTACCTGATGTAGCATGTAGTCCCGTGCCCAGTGTTGTGCGAGGCGTGTGAACCGCGCATCGTTCGCCGTCTCACCTCTCTGGCTCTGGCCTCTGCGCTCTGGCTTCCCCCATCCCCCTGTCCACAGAGTCCAACACGCAACAGGGTATGAATTACATATACGATATACATTGCTAGATGTCTCTCGCTCTTCTCTCTCTAACTCACTCATTCTCACACTCACTCACTCACACCCTCTCACGACTCACGCGCCGCCGCCCGCGTATTGACTATTGTTTGGTTTTGTAAGTGAAGTGAATTCGTTGGGGTATTATTAGTAATAATTATTATATTTATTCTCCCCCTATTAGCCACCAGTGGGGCTTTTATCTACCCCTTCCGCCGTTTTAGGGCCTTCCCACCCGCTATGTACACACGTGGCCGTATGTTCTTAAAGTGAACGCGCCGCGCCGCCCGGCGGGTACGCTCTCGCGCAGCTCTCGCGCGGTCATAGAGCCCAGCTTAGAAAGCTCTATTACACGCGACCCTCTATACCGGCCAACCGGCGGCAACAGGCCCGGGGCCCGCGCGTACGTGCACGTACTCTATCGGCACACGCGCCCTTTCCCATCAATG